AACAATTGCTTTATGCCGAATTGCCGGTATTTGAAAGTGAAAGTAAAATGCGCACGCCGCTTTTACAAGTCATTTAAAAGCGAAGGAAAAGAGGAAACGCCCCCGCGGTGATACCGGTATTACCGGTTTTGTCACACGTCGATTAACCGGTGGGAAAATTTCCTCACCGTCACAACCCTACCCTCGAGTCAACATCCCACCCCTGACTTTGCCCTGAAAGAGCAGATAGCATTTAAACCCATTATTTCAACACGAGCACTGAAGACACTCACTGGAGTCTGGCATGATCCTCAGATCTCCGTCTTTATAGTCGTCGAGCAGCTGATACATGTAGAGCACCGGGTCTTTCTCGTACGTGATGTAGAACCACGTGTTCATGATAGGCGCCCGAGCCAGAACCATTCAAGTGCTATAACAAGTCTCAGTTAGCTTAACGCAGTACATATAGCAAGGTCTTTTTTTTATTATATAGTAAATAAAAAGAAAACAATAGAAAAAGAATAAAGCAAGCTAGTGTTAGAGGCCTTTTTTTTTTGCTTTTGTTAATTGTAAAATAAATAAAAAGAAAACAAATAGAATACAAAAAGAATAGAGAAGCTAGTGTTAGTTTTTTTTTTTAAGAAAACAAGCAGTTAGTAAATGAATAGAGTGCAAGTCTAAAAGGAGCAAGTTTTTTTTGTCATGTTCACAGAAGTCCGTCAGAGATGCTTCAGATATATTGAGCTTTAGTGCTGATTTAGAGAATCCAGTTTACATTGTGTTTACAATTCAACACAATATATTTAACTGAACAGATTCAACAATTCCAGAAGAGCTTGTTTGATGATGAATCAGAGTTTAATATTAGATGAAAAACATTTTTAATTGCTTGTGTTTAAGAATATTTATTATGATCAACAGGAGTGCAACATTTGAAAAATATTAATAAAATATTAATAATAATTACCTAACCTAATATTTAACTTTGAAAATTATAATTATTAAATGCTATGGGCAATATTAATATCATTAAATTCATATTCACACAGTCAGCTCTACAAGCAAATGAATTTGCTTCACCTAATATTAACTCTGAAAATTATAATTATTAAATTCATAAATGTTATATTTATTGAGCAATGAGTGCAACAATTTAAAAATATTAATACAATTAAAAATGTATATTCACACATTCAGCCCTAAAACACAATCAGAACAATTATGCTTCACCTAATATTTAACTCTGAAAATTGTAATTATTCACGAGTGTAACGTTTAAAAAAATATGAATACATTAATAATAATAATAATAATAATATTCATATTCACACATTCAGCCCAATCTGAAAATTATCATTATTAAATTTATAAATGTAATATTAAGCACGAGCAATATGAGTGCACCATTTAAAAAATATTAATACAATACTACAACTACTACTCTAGGGCAGTCAAAAAAAAAAAAAATCGAATTTCGAATATTCGTTGAATTTAAAATAAAATTCCACATTCGAATGCAAAAACGTTGCATTTCGAATTTTAGGTGTGAGTTATGGAGGCAGCCTTATCAGTGGCACACAAGTGCGATGACGATGTAGGTGTCGTTGCATTATAATGCTTTTGTTAGCCTGTCCAGTTGAAGCCACTAGATGCGGCGCTGCTACGTTGTTCATTCAAAATATTGCGGGAAAAGAGAGCATCAGTGCGGAGATGTTGTTTACGTCAAAACTGAAACGAAGCCATTCACACAGAACGCATATTTATCACATTTTCTAGAGGGACATCTATCACCGTTGCACTCGCGTCTCACACAAGAGAGCCGCATGTTTAGAAAGCCATGTAAAATTAATGCAAGTTTAACTTTTTAACTTTTTAAAAAAACACGTCTCAAGACTTTATGGCGGTTTTTCCCCATCCCACTGGATCTCCTGTTTTTAAATGAAGTAGTCGTCTTTGTGATTGGCTTTCGGTGCTTTGTATTATACTATACATACATACATGATGCTGTTTTGTTTCTAATTGTTTAAGCAACTTAATTAATTAAATATGGTTTATAAACATTAATTTAAACATTATGCACTTTTTTTCAAAGATAGTCGTGCTATTTTATTGCTTTGAATAAACGGTCATTAGTAATACTTTGCTCGATGCGCCCTCTTGTAGCCTCAGGAGAGAAGCTAAAAGCTTAAAATTATAATTATATAAAAATTATAATATTATAATATTCAAGTACAAAATTCGAATTTAGTTTTTCAACCATTTTGACAGCCCTAACTACTACTACGAATAAAAATAATTAAATTCATATTCACACATTCAGCCCCCCTCAGAAAATGATCATTATTAAATGCATAAATGTTATATTATGAGCAATATGAGTGCAACATTTAAAAAAATATTAATACAAAACTACAAATACTAATAAAAATAGTTGAATGCATATTCACACATTCAGCCCAATTCATAGATGTTATGTTTATTATGAGCAACATTTTAAAAATATTAATATAATAGAATAATAAAATGTCTTTTCTGCTCATTGCTGCACTAACAGTTACTAATGATGCAGCTCAATTAAACTGGTTTGCACTCTTCTTTCTATGTCTGCTGTCAATGAATGAAGTAAAGCGGGTACCGAGTCTGTCTGGCAGGACCTCGAGTCCCTGCACCCGCTCGTCTTTATGCAGCTCCAGGCCGTAGACGCAGTCGAAGCCGTCGTATTTGATCAGGTAGAGCGAGGGGTTGACGGGCACCTGGTCTAAAACGGTGCCTTTCCACTGCGACGCCGCGCCGCTGCCCTCCTTCCAGATGTGCTGGATACGACAGCCCACGATGTTCCTCCGCGGCTGAGCCACTGCTTTGGTGGGGCCTACGCTGCTTTTGTGTTTCCTGTCAGATCATCAACATTAGCAAATTAGAGCATTTACATTCCCCAGATGCTGAATTCTGAATCAGTTTCAAGGTGAAGGGCATTATTTCAACAACAACAACAAAAAAACAACAGTACTTGATCCATATGGTATTAGTTGGGATAGTCGTACAGATCTAGTCCTAAACAAAGAGAAAATATTTGCTAAAATAACTAAATAACTAAATAATTGCACACTTCAGCTTTAATCTTGAATCAATTTTATGCTTCAACTAACATTCTAAATTAATAATTATAATGTCTATTAAATTTAAAAAAAATTATATTTATTATAATCAATATGAGGTTAATATTAAAAAAAAAAAAATTTAAATAATAATAATAATAATAATATAGTATAAAAAAATTAAACAAGCAAATATATTAACCTAATAGTTAATATTTATTATTACTACAATCAATGACATTTTAAAAATATGAATATCTTATAACAATTCATGTTTAAGTGTTCAATCCAATACACAATCAAATAAAAAATATACTTCACCTAATATTTAACTCTGATAATGATACAAAATTAATAAATTCAGAAATTGAACTAAACATTAAAAATATTAACAATGTAATAATTCATATTTATACATTCAGCTCTAAAACACAAGCATCTACAAAACTCTGAAAATTATTATCATTAAATACATTAATATTTATTACAATAAATATGAATTAAACATTTTTTAAATATTAATATATTATAATAATTAAATGTATCATATTCGAGTGTTCAATCCTGCTACACAAATGAAATACAGAAACATATTTCACCTAAAATTCAACTCTGTTAATAAAAATTAAAAAAAATTCTGAATTGTAATTTATGATCAAAATGGACAAAACATTTAAAAAATTTAATATAAAATGTAATATAATTCATATTTATACACTCAGCCATAAAACACAAGCAACAAAAAAAGCGCTTTACCTAATATTTAACTGTTCAATACACAATCACATAAAAAATACACACATTATCTTAAAATTTAACTATGGTTCAGAAGTGTTATTTATTGAATTTATTTATTTACTGAATATATTACGATAAATATGAAAAAAAAAACATTTTATAATATTAATATAATGTAATATATTATAAATAAATTCACATTCACACATTCAGCCCTAAAACACACACACAAAAAAGCTTTACTTAATATTCAACTCTAAAAATTATAATTATTAAATGCATAAATAATTATTATGATTGCTATGAGTGTAGCTTTTTAAAAATATTAATAATATATAATATATAATATAATTTACACACTAAAAAAATAAAATAAAATTATTATTAAAGGGGTCATCAGATGCCCATTTCCCACAGGCTGATATGATTCTTTAGGGTCTTAATGAAAAGTCTATAACATACTTTGGTTAAAATTTCTCAATGGTAGTGTAAACCAACACCCTTTTTACCGTCAAAAACAGCTGCTCACAGCAAGCTGTTTCAGTGCATGTCTCTTTAAATGGTAATGAGCGCTGCTGATCCCGCCCCTCTCTTCCGTGGGGTGAGCAGCCGCTCTCTGAGAGACGGTAAACTTTAGCCGCATTCATCGTGAAACTTGCTAACATGTAAAAGTTAATTTTGCTTCCGATGACCCCTTTAAATTCATTGCTATATTATCAACATGAGCATAATATAATGTAAAATAATTAAGATTCCCACATTCAGCCCTAAAGCACAATCAAAAGAAAACTTACTTATGAGAATTCTTTTTCTTCATCATATTTGCAGAGACACCAGCATGCCCTTTAATCACAGACACAGCAAACATGTTATTATTAAAAAGACATTTCAGACAATGATCTTCAGAAATCAAAGCGCCGCTCTAACCTGCATCAGCTCTGGATCTCTGGGCCGCGTTCTTCCCGAATGGGGTCTTCATTCATCTGTGTGTGGGGGAGCAGCCCGGCTGCCGCACTAGGGTCAAAATATCCTCTACTCTTTCTGATGAATGAAAGAGTATCAGGGGAGAGAGGATTCAACCTAAAGGGGGCAGTCAAAATAAAAGAAAAAGCGCTGGCATGTAATGTGCTCGCCCGATGCCCGTCTGACGGGTCGCCCTCTCAGGGCCCGCGCAGATGGGTACTGATCCAGACCTCCCTCAGAAGGGCTCCAGCAACCTAAAAAATACAGGAACGTCAGCTTAAACGTTTAGAAAACGCTCTGGGAATGTAAACGATCACATATTAATTGAAGGAGAGGGAAGATGCTCCACATTAATGAGCCACATTACATGTGATTTAAAGTTGAGTAGTCAATGGAAACCAAAACTGTTTGTTTGCCAACATTCTTCAAAATATATTCTTTTACGTTCCACAGAACAAAGAAACTCATACAGGTTTGGAACGACATGAGGGTGAGTAAACAATGACAGTAGACTTGTGCCGGTATTCGGTAATGCGATATATCACGGTAATGAATATGCACGATATTGTTATCGTGGGCACTTCTAAATACCGTGAATAATTATATAGTACAAATTATTCCGAATTTTGAATGCATTTTAAGAATACTTTTCCCATCAACTGGTCAAAATGCACAACACAGCTGTATGCTGC